CCGGTGTCTGTGTGGGTTTCCTCCAGGTGCTCCGGTTTCCTCCCACAGTCCAAAGATGAGGTGGTTAGGGTGGATTGGCTATGCTAAATTATCCACAGTGTCCAAGGATATGCAGGCTAGGTAGGTCAGCCACGGGAAATGCAGGTGAATGATGATTGACAGTTAACCGCCAGACCTTGTTTACAATTTCAGCCAGGCTGGTTCACTCTGATTGGTCAGGGCATAGCTCTCAAAAATAAACCAGCGAACAGCAGTGACCTATTTTGTTATTTGAGTTATGATCTCTGTGTGGTACACTTGCATGTACAGAAAGCCATTGTGTGTTTGTGTACTTTGTGTGCAGAAAGAACATATGCACACACCCAAGTGTTTCACCACAATAACACAGGTTACAAGCTTTCACTGGTTCATTTCCCAATGCACTGTCGTGCCCAATCAGAATCAATACGCCACATTTAAAATCCAAATAAAACCTCGCAGTTAACAACCAATTAGCATTCATTGTTAATGCGAGCGGCCCACTTGATTCGCACCACATCCACAAACATCCCACTCCCTCCCCACACTGATGCTCAGTTGCAGCAGTGTGTACCATCTACAAGATGCTCTGCAGAAATGCACCAAAGATCCTCAGGCAGCACCTTCCAAACCCACGACCCACTTCCATCTAGAAGGACAAGGGCAGCAGATACATGGGAACACCACCCCCTGCAAGTTCCCCTCCGAGCCACTCCCCATCCTGACTCGGAAATATATCCCCGTTCCTTCAGTGTCGGTGGGTCAGAATCCCTGGAATTCCCTCCCTAAGGGAGGCTGTGGGTCAACCCACAGCACATGGACTGCAGCGGTTCAAGAAGGCGGCTCACCCCCACCTTCTCAAGGGGGGCAATAAATGCTGGGCCCAGCCATCAAGACTCATCCCACAAATGAATAAAAAGAACATTTATTCTCCATGACAGAGCCTCAACCAGAATCAAACTGCCAACAAATCAACATGCATTATAAATATTGATTTTCTCTTTGAACTGGTGTTCTTGAAGTGTCCTGACGACTACAAGAGAGAAAGCATTGATAAGCGCGTCCTTTTTTTCTAGCAATGCTCAAGTTGTGTACCACCAAAACAAACCAATTGTAGACCCCATGTATGTTTAAAAAAAAAAAAATCCCTTGATTGAACCCAGTCTAAGTTCACAGAATCCAGAATGTCTACAGTGTGTAAACAGGCCCTTTGACCCAATAAGTCCACACCGACCCTTGGAGCATCCCACCCAGACCCATCCCCCTATAACTCACCTAATCTACACATCCCTGAACATTATGGGGGCGATTTGGCATGGCCAATCCACCTAACCTGCACATCTTTGGACTGTGGGAGGAAACTGGAGCACCAGAGGAAACCCACATAGACACAGGGAGAATGTGCAAACTCCACACAGACAGTCGCCCGAGGCTGGGATCGAACCCGGGTCCCTGGTGCCATGAGGCAGCAGTGCTGACCCACTGAGCCACCATGCCACCCTTTGTTGACGTTTACCAGTAAAAGTTGATTTCTGAACCTGGTTGATTAGCTCTGTGCATAGATTCCAGAAAAGTTAATACAGTTAAAATTAAAAACAGGTTCACACCCCATTCCTCAGTTGGAGGATTGTTTCAATGGGGTTTCAGTGTTTCATTCCTGACTAAGATTCGTTTCTTGAGGCGAGTACCTTTGATACAATCCATTTTGAGTAACAATGTTGAGTCATGTCATTTGGGTTGAAAAACGTCCCAGCTGTTTTCCAAGGCTCACGAACAAGTTGTAACTAGCGTTCCTAATTGTGTGGTTTCCTTGACTTATGTACTAATCCACAGTAATACCTGGGAAAAAACATGTAGAACAACTAAAGCCTTATTTAAACAGTTGCAGTTCACCAACTTAGTGTTGGATCTCACCAAAGTGAAAGGGCAGGTAACTTACCGATGACGACACATTGTTGGACAAGGGTACATGCTGTCTGCCATGTTTGAAGTGAAGGCTGTTATAAAATTCCTGATTCCTAAAACTAAATGGAAAATGGCAAAATATTCTACCACAATCCCACTTTCCAGCACTCAGTGGTAAACACTGCTGTCTCACAGCCCCAGCGACCTGGGTTCGATCCCAGCCTCGGGCGACTGTCTGTGTGGGGTTTGCACATTGCCCCTGTGTCTGCGTGGGTTTCCTCCGGGTGCTCCAGTTTCCTCCCACAGTCCAAAGATGTGCAGGTTAGGGTGGATTGGCCATGTTAAGTTGTACCATATAGTGTCCAGGGATGGGCAGGCTAGGTGATTGACCATGCGAAATGCAGGGTTACAGAGATGGGTCTGGGTGGGATGCCCTTAAGAGGGTCGCTGTGGATCCAATGGCCCGTTTCCGTATTGTAGGTGTTCTATTATTCTATTCCATGATTCACTTGGCCCATGGCCTCGAATGTTGTAACAGCTCAAGTGCTCATCCAAGTACTTTTTAAAGATTGAGAGGTTTCCTGCCTCAAACCCCCTCCCAGGCCGTACATTCCAGACACCCACCCCACCCCCTGGGGGAAATCACTTTCCCTCAAATCCCCCTCTGAACCTCCTGCCTTTCACCTTGAAATGATGTCCTCTTTTTACTGATCCTTCGACCGAGGGCAGTAGCTGCTTCCTATACCCCCCCGTCCATGCCCCGTGCCATCAGAATCTTACCCACCTCTATCAGGTCCTCCCTCAGCATTCTCTGCTCCAAAAGAAAACACCAAGCTTATCCAGCCTCCCTCGGTCACTGAAACACTTCATCCCAGGGAATATCCCTCTGCACCCCCTTCCAGTGCCATCACATCTTTCCTATAGTGTTGGGACCAGAACCGCACACAGTACCCCAGCTCCAACATGACCTCCCTGCTTTTATCATTTATATCTCGACTGCTAAAAGCAAGTGTCCTGCATGCCTTTTTCATGACGCTATTAGCCTGCCTTGCCACCTTCAGGGATCTGTGGGCTAACACCCCAAGATCCTTCTGCGTTTCCTAGTGTCCTGCTATTCATCGAGTACTTCCTTGTCTTGTTACTACTTCCAAAGTGCATCACCTCCCATTTCTCACAGATAAACTCCATCTGCCACTGCTCTGCCCATCTGACCAACCAGTTTCTAGCCTCCTGTAACATTACACCTTCCTCCTCCATGTCAATCACCTGGACAATCTGTGTCTTACCCACAAACGTAATCATCCTCCCACATTCCCACCTCCATCATTTACAAATATCACAAACAGTAAGGGACCCGGCACTGATCCCTTTGGAACATCACTGGGCGCCAGACACACAGACACACAGACACACAGACACACAGACACACAGACAC